TAAACATACAAACATGGTAAAGAATACATGAGAGGTGTGATTAAATTTGGATTATTTAAAGTAATGGTAAAATACACCAAATTCTCATATATTATACTAAAAGTGCGCGTTTTACTCTTATATTCAGATAGAGATTCCTTAACGGCCTCTCATTTTAGTCGAGATCATAGATGCGTCCTCTCCTTTTTGAAGTATGGATGCAAATGGTTATTCGATTTCGGAAGTGGATCAAGCCAAGACAGAGCAGAATCGGAGGCGGCATCTGGTTTTCATTGATTATTTATGCTTTTTCTCTTCGGAAATTTTTGCATGAAACCCCCTAATATTTAACTAAACATGCACTCTCCCTTTTTCCATTAACGGCGTTAGTGTTTTTTGTGAAAACCTCATTGTACCCTCAAAATATTTTATAATATGTTTACTGTAAATTGAATTGAATTTATCATGATATTTTGAAAAGACTGCTGGAAATTGGGTAAATTTTCTACCCATAGGTTCGAACATTAGACTTGAAGTAGGATGGTTAGCATTCACAACCCAGACCACTAAAGGGCTAGTGTTAGTTCTGATAACGTTCAAAATATATATAGACATTACATATGAATAAATCTAATTAAATTTAAAAATAATTTAATTTAAATCAAATTAATTTAATAAAATATAAACGCATACTAAATGAAAATATTATTAACAAAATTATATATATATATATTAAATTAAAATAAAATAATAAAAATAACTTAGAAGTAATTATAACAAAAAATTACAGTTAAGATAATAATATTTTATTATACTTATTTTATTTTTGTTTATTTTTATTATATATTTAATTTATAATATTATTTATTTATTTATTTATTAATTTCACTTTATTTTATCCTAGCCATATAAATGTAGTGCTACTACCTTGCGCCTTGGCACACCTAGTAGCACATGTTCATTTTATTATGTAACATGTTCATTTTAAACTGCCTTGGCACACCTTGCTAGGTGTGTGATGAGGATCGTGTGTTTCGATTGCCGATAAGCCGCTAACCCGCGCCTTGAATCGCCGATAGTGTTTCTCTAGCCACAACCGCGCCTATTCAAACGATAAAATTGCTATAGTATTCTGGTGAAAAGACTAAAGCAAAGTTGGAAGAACAAAATTCTAGATTTCTATTGATGTCTTGGATGATTGAATTAATAATAATAACATAGGGGAAGGGGCCTTTATATAGGCACCAACTAGATCTAAGTCTATTCTACCTAGGAAACTAATAAAGTAATAAAATATTAAGTAACCTAAACAATCTAAATATTCTAAAGCAATAAGGAAACTAAATATCTAGGAAATCTTGTGCCTTCACTTGCACTCCAAGTTGGGAAGAATAATCTAGAGGAATTTCAGCTTAAAAAGACTCCTAGAAGTCCCAATTTCTTGCTGGCCAAGTCAGC